GTTTTTAATTATTAACTGAACTGACTATGAAAATGAAGTATTTTTATCTCTTAAATTCTCTAAATAACACTTTTTGAAAGCTACACTGCAATGTAGTTGCCATGATAAGACTTATGATGACAGGACAGCAAAGGATCTGTATTCTAGTCATTAGGATCAAGTTCTGGAAGGTTCACTAAGGTGGGAGCTCAGGAAATAGACTAAATAATAGAGATGGCCAAAGACTCAATAATTAGAGGAAAAAAAGCTTAATCTAGGCAAATGATTTATGTATATTGATTACCAAAATAATGATTTGATATGTCTTCTGCCAGGGCCAAAACCCACAGTATATTGAGTGCAGAACTGAGCCCAAAGATGTGATGAAAACAGGAAAATACCTGGAACACATTTAAAAAAAAAAACTATTTAAATTGGCTATAAAAACATGTGCTTAATTCACGGAACTAGAACAAATAATTCTGAAATTTGTATGGAACCACAAAAGACTGAAGAGCCAAAGCAATCTTGAGAAAGAAGAACAAAGCTGGAGGTCTTACAATCCCAGATTTCAAGATATACAATAAAGCTGCAGTAATCAAAACAGTATGGTACTGGCACAAAAACAGACACACAGATCAACAGAACAGAATAGAGAGCCCAGAAATAAACCCATGCTTTTATGGTCAATTAATGTACAAAAAGGAGACAGAAAATACGACGAGGAACAAAGGAGACAGAAAATACAACGAGAAAGACAGTCTCTTCAATAAATGGTGTTGGGAAAACTGGACAGATACAAACAAAAGAATGAAACTGTACCACTTTCTTACACCATGTACAAAATAACTCAAAATGGATTACAGACTTAAATGTAAGACCTGAAATCATGAAATTTCTAGAAGAAAACACATGCAATACTCTTTGACATTGGTCTAAGCAATAGTTTTTTGGATATGTCTTCTTACGCAAGGGTGACAAAAGCAAAGATAAATAGGGCGCCTGGGTGGCTCAGTTGGTTAAGCGACTGCCTTCGGCTCAGGTCATGATCCTGGAGTCCCAGGATCGAGTCCCGCATCGGGCTCCCTGCTCGGCAGGGAGTCTGCTTCTCCCTCTGACCCTCCTCCCTCTCATGTTCTCTGTCTCTCATTCTCTCTCTCTCTCAAATAAATAAATAAATAAAATCTTTAAAAAAAAAAAGCAAAGATAAATAATTTGAACTACATGAAACTAAAAAACTTTTGCACAATGAAGGAAACCACTAGCAAAATGAAAAAAAATGCTACTAAATGGGAGAAGATACTTGCAAATGATAGATCTGTGAAGGGGTTGATATCCAAAATATATAAAGAACTCATACAACTCAATAACAACAACAACAACAACAACAAAAAGGAAAAATCCGATTAAAAAATGGGCAGAGGACCTGAACATTTTCCCAAACAAGACATACAAATGACAGGGACAACACAGATAGATCTGGAGGGTGTTATGGTAAGTGAAATAAGTCACAGAAAGACAAACACCATTTGTTCTCACTTACATGTGGAATCTAAAAAACAAATGAACAAACAAAACAAAACAGAAACAGACTCATAGATACAGGGAACAAACTGATGGTTGCCAGAGGGTAAAGGGGGCAGGCTGATGCGAGAAAAACATGAAGGGGATTAAGAGGTACAAACTTCCAGTTATAAAATAAATACATTATGGGGATGTGATGTACAGCATAGGGAATATAGTCAATAGTATTGTAATAAATTTGTATAGTGACAGATGGTAACCAGACCTATTGTAGTGATCATTTTGTAATGTATAAAAATACTGAATCACTCTCTTGTATACCTGAAACTAATATAATACAATATTGTATGTTAATTATAATTTAAAAACTATTTAAATTATCTGTAAAAACATGTACTTAATTTTACCAAATTTTGATTTCAAGTTTACCATTAAAATTTCTATAACGTTATTATGAAGGCTGCAATGAGCAGTGGGCTTCTTATAAACCTTGGTATTTTATTAGATTGCTAAGTGATCTATAGCAAATCATTTAACCTGCCTGGGCCTGTTTTCTTCATCTGTTAAATGAGGTTAGAGATAATGAGCAAAATCAGTATCTTTATCAGAATGAAATGAGATACAATATGTGAAGGAACTTTGAAAAATATGTGAAATTATATGTAAATTATTATAATTGAAATTCCATATTCTTTTTATATTTAATTTGATTAGAAATTCCAGTTATGGAAAAACTTTCAGGACAAATGAATCTTTTGTATCAGTAACTAACTGAATTTATCCATTAATGGCTCTTCTTTGCAATGTATCTACAGAAAATTGTTACAGCTTCTGATTTATTAACACAGTGACAGTAGAATCAGGCTCATTGCATTTGGCTAAGATATCGGTGAGATTCATAGTTGAGAACACCGATGGATTTCTGTAAATCCAGACAGACGAAGAGAAAAGGAGTTTGTGAAGATATTGTTATGTGCGAAGAGAGTGAAATAAAATTAAAGTGAGGATGAATACAAAAGGCTAGAGCAGGGAGGGCAAACATATGATACGATGTCACTCCTCCTTGCCTTCCTCAGCCTCTCCCCAACTCAATCCCCAAGCACACACAGAAACCACAGCAGTCTTTTATGAAGAGCCTGCATGGGGCTTCACAATCATCTGCAACTTTGAGTTTAGGAAGTCATTACCACTTGAATACAGTAGTCATATGAAGATGTCCCCTGAGATGAAACAGAATCATTATTCTTATCCTAGGACATCAAAGTTGATTTGGAATGGAGAAGACAGAATCATTATTTAAAACAGTATTGCTGTAACTCTCTAAATTGCATCAATGACATATATTTTGAGCATTGTAACACATGTAGATAATTATCATATTTAAATTAAATAATGCAGATAATGTAGATAATTAAATCATATTTAAAGGCTAAATTGTTAAAGGGAAAATAACATTTGGCATTTTATAATCAATAGCTTCAAACACACTTCTCATATATACCAACACACTGCCTGGTACGTGGCAGATAATCAGATGAATGTCTGTTGAATGAAAAAATGACAGTTTGATTAGGTTCCAAAAGCTGCTTTGGATCAAATAACTTTCGACATGGTGTACTTCAAGGTAATGGCAGTGGAATATTTTTCTTTTGTCAATTATTTTATCTCTAGTCCCTAGCGTAAGGCCTGGCACAGGGTAGCCACTCAATGTCCACTGAGTAAATAGAACAGGCTCACTGATCTATTAAGCAAGGGAAAGAATATTTCTGAAGTAAAATTTAGGATGTGCAGGAAACAAAAGATCCCATATTCTACCGTGTCTTAATTTGTGAGTCAATTCTTGAAATAAAATGACATAGTATTTCTTACTGGGTTTTAAAATTATCGCTTTCATTCCCACTTGGTGTCATTTTGATTTGTCTGCGAAGTTCTGTAATCCTGAAGCAACAAGATTTCAAAGCAAAACAGGAATGGGAACAGTGGTGATTAAGTGAAGAGAGATGATGTAAATAATCAGCACAGTGCTACTGTGGGAGGGGAATAGAAAAGAGGAAGAAACAGTCTCTGGTTTTAAACTTAATAAAAAAGGGGACCGGGCACAATTCACAGCGCCTCTGGTAAGCGCTGTGAATTGTGCCCGACTGTTGAACCTCAGATCTGTACCTCTGAAACAAATAATGCAATATATGTTAAGAAAAAAAAGAAGAAGAAGAAGAAGGTAGCAGGAGGGGAAGAATGAAGGGGGAAATCGGAGGGGTAGACGAACCATGAAAGATGATGGACTCTGAAAAACAAACTGAGGGTTCTAGAGGGGAGGGGGTGGGAGGAGGGGTTAGCCTGGTGGTGGGTATTGAGGAGGGCACGTTCTGCATGGAGCACTGGGTGTTATGCACAAACAACGAATCATGGAACACTACATCTAAAACTAATGATGTAATGTAGGGGATTAACATAAGAATTAAAAAAAAAAAAGGGGACCGGGCAAATTAGACAGAGGAAACAGTACACTGAAACACTTTTCTAAAGCAACCGTCACTAAGTATGAAGAATGACGAGGAGGATAGGATGGTCAATAAATGTCAGAAGAAACAAAGAGCATCCCAAGAAAAATGAGGAAAGGCCACAGAAGGAAGCTGAAGGTAATGGAAGAGAAGTTTCACTGACTCCAGGAATATAGATATTGAAAGGTTCCTATCATCTATGGTGATCCAATCCCCACAACTGATGAATAAGCAAGAGGTTAAATGACTTGCCCCAGGGCCAGCTACAAGGCACACACTTGAGGCTTCTAACACAGCACCATTACCTCTGTATGCCACGTGCTACCCACCAGCAGGGAAAAGGCGAGACCTTAGCATTCTTCAAATTCCATGAATGCTTGCAACAATAGTCCGAATAATACACAATACATTTTGGGGGGCTTTATTAATTATAGCACAAATATAGTGAGTAATTTGGCATTCACATTCATTTTGTAACAAAATTATTAAAACGAATCATTTAGAATTAAATTACTGAAAAACCAAATTCTGTGTTTACCTAAGATTGATTTTTTTCCTACCTAAACTGTAAAAAATTTCCCACAAATAAAACGTAGATCTTAGGTAATATTTCTGAAGTCAGAAGCAAATCACTTTAATGGAAGGTACTGCGTGAATTCCAGCTTGGTATGTCCTTAAGTGTAATATTTGTTTTTTTTTTTTTTAAATCACTCAAACAGCAAATGGTGATCAACAAACCAAATTGCACGTAGTAACCTGGTGACTCAAAGGATTCCTTAAATAGGAGTATAGCTTAATAATACATGAAGAACAATAATGCAAACTAGCTTCAGTCATAAATCAAATGAGCATTCTTTATTCAAGATAAATTTAATATTATAATTGATAAAGTACATAACTGTCAAAAAAGGCTCAGAACTTGGGGAATTTTCAGCCTGAAGTTATTACTATATTAGATGAAGAGTCTTACTGGCAAAATACTAGTGCCGAGCTTATATTAGCGACAACGGAGGAGAGGTTAAGTTCTGGATGGCTGGCAGTGTGTGCCCTGAGGATTGCATGGCTGGCGCTCGATGAATTTCTGTGGTTTAGGAGTGATAATGGTGAGCAATGAGGAAAGATCTTAAATAGTGACGGGAACTGGAAAGGAAAAAGAGTAATTGCTTAGTATGTCACTGAACCGGATGCACTACAACTCTTTCACTAAATATTTTCAACTCAAAAAATTGTTCATCTTATTGAGAAAACATTTCTAATTTTATAATGGAGATCAAAGGAATAATGAGATTCAATTTTAAAGAATTTTCCTTGAAGTAAATATTATCAGTACTTTGCAGGAGATCATTAAAGAAATAGCTGGGTGCTACAAAAATTATGAAATTATTTAAAATTGTTCTAAATAAATAGCATTTGTCTGAAAAAGTCATATGCATTCATATTATGAATTGAATTGTTAAATTCATAAGGTGAAGAAAGATTTAGTTACCATTATCTGAGAATCACTATCAACTAGTTTTTGTGTTAGTTCCAAGATAATTAAGGCCAAGAAAAGGTACATTTTTTCTATGTCAAAATCATAAGCATAATACTCATAATTATAGCATTTCCGTTTATTTAGATGGGTATTGCTTGTAGGATTTAACGTTTTATCAACTTCTTAAAAAATTTTAATAACAGAGGCAGAGAAATTAAAAAACTTTTGAAAAATAAGAGTATTAAGAATATTTTTGGGGTTAGGGTTTTTCTTACTGTCAAAGATTTTGAAAAGAGCGTTTGAAACACTCCATTTGCATAAAATGCATTTTTATTTATGCCTATTTCCTCCCCAATTATTAATCTTTTCTTTTTTTAAAGGGGGGGAGGGGCAGAGGGAGAGAGAGACTCTTAAGCAGGCTCCATGCCCAGGGCGGAGGCCAACGTGGGGTTCGATCTCACGACCCTGAGATCACGACCTGAGCCGAAATCAAGAGTTGGGACACTTAACGGACTGAGCCACCTAGGGGCCCCCAAATTATATTTCTAATAAAGCTGCTTTATTTTTTTTTATTTTTTTATTTTTTTAAGATTTATTTATTTATTTATTCATGAGAGACAGAGAGAGAGAGAGAGAGAGAGGCAGAGGGAGAAGCAGGCTCCCAAGGAGCAGAGAGCCCGATGCGGGACTCGATCCCAGGACCCTGGGATCCTGACCTGAGCCGAAGGCAGACGCTTAACCATCTGAGCCACCCAGGCGCCCTCTAATAAAGCTGCTTTAAAGGTAAAGTTTCATATTGGACTCAGCAAAGACTTTGAAAGCATTTAACTCTGAACATTAACTCTGCCAAATTCCAGACAAATTTCCAATCTACTACATAAGTAATGAGAAAACAATCCTAGAATGTACATAGGAAAAATCTATAGAAATGCCATGATTTAAGTTTAACTGCCCTGGTAATTCTAACCTCAAACCTTAAACAAACAAACATACAAAAAGTGTCCCTCTGGAATCCCATAGGTCTCATGAGGAATAAAGGCTACCTTTCCTTGTAACTCAGAGGAAAGCTTCCAGGACCAGATATATTTCATTTGCAGCCCCCCAAAGATTATAAGGATCGCTTAATATAAGCAAAATTGCTTTGCAATTGTAAATCTTTTTTTTTTTTTTTTTGAGTAGGCACCACACCCAGTGTGGAGCCCATCGTGGGGCTTGAAGTCACAACTCTGAGATCAAGACCTGAGCTGAGATCAAGAGTTGGAGGCTTAACCAACTGAGCCATGCAGGTGCCCTGCAAATATAAATCTTTTTACATGCGAGAATTATAACAACACAGGATATAAGGATTATACTTGGAGAGCTAAGTAGCGATAGCCATAAACCCATTATTGATAGGAGAAAGCAGGTATCTTGCTTATTTAAAAAAATGGTTGAGAAGAAAGTAGACCGGTGGTGGCCAGGGGATGGGGTGGAGGGATAGGTGATTGTTCAATGGGCTTAGAGTTTCAGTTTTGCAAGGTGAAAAAGTTCTGGATGTTGGTTGTACAACAATGCGAATATACTTAACACTAATGAACTGCATATTTAGAAATGGTTAAGATGGTAAATTTTATGTTATGTGCTTTTTTAAAACCACAATTAAAAAAAAGAGTTGAATTAGATCAGAAGAGTGAGGTATTCAGATTGACTAAGGATATTTCTTGTACTCCCAATAAATTGTGAGTTTATATCTAAAAAAAAATTGAGAAAAGTCATTTGAGACTTGGAGGGTCAACTTGTGAGAAAGTGAAAGACAAATCACTATGGAGTTGACTCAGGCTGGAAAGACAGAATATTTTGGTTTTGAAATCTTGAATTTTGAAATGTAACCAATGGTTACATGTCCAAGTAGTTTGAATTTGAGCATAGGAGGTGGGGGAGAAACTAGCATTCCCAGGGATCATTGCCCAGAAAGCTAGACAATATGATAGTACAAAGTCCTAAATACTTGGATTTATGTATTTAGCCTCTCTATGTTTACAGTGAGCCCTAGGTTGATAGGATAACCAAAAAAATCGTTTTGGCTGACAGTATTAAAATCTAAACAATTCCAGCTGGAAAGATGATATGGAAGAAAGAATGCAAATTAAGGCCACGACAAAGAATGGCCTCCATACCTAATTCAGAAAGAGCAAGACAAAAATGCCAATTTCTGAACTCCACTCTGGACCAATCGAATCAGAATCTCTGGGGGTGGGGACCAGAACCTACATGTTTAATATGCTATGTACATGAATGTTTGAGAATGACCAGACTAAATTTTAAAGAGAGAAACCTCTGTCATTTTAACGGTGGTTAGAACTCATTAGAGGCAAATACACCATTCAAGGATATTCTTAATGACACCATCATGGCCATGATTCTTTGAGTTCCTTAGAGGCACGTCAGAGAGTCTCTACTGTTTTCAAGGAGGGATTAATGGATTAAAACAATCTCTTTGAAATATTAGAAGAGATATACTTAAGTGAGTCAAATGGTAGTCTGTGTTGCAAGAACCAGCTGCCTGGCTAAGCTTGAAATTTTTAGAGCTATAAGGAGAACTTTTATAGCTCTAAAGCAGGGATGACAAATAGCAAATATTTGGCATGAATGTTGTTCTTCTCTCTTTCCCTATAGACGCAGATTTCAAATTCTCAACATAGCACTTTAGGGCAGCCAATCAATTGTAGTAACAAACAAGATGAAACCAATTTGTCAGTACTTCTCCAGGGGCATGGAGGGGGTGTGTGTGGGAGAGAGTGGGTTCTCGTTAAAGTTTTACACACACACACACACACACACACACACAGGTACGCACACACATGTAATATTCGTGCAGAGTAAAATTCACTTAGCTAAATATTTAGAAATGTGTAATGCAGATAGAGTTTATAGACTTTGGTGTAATATATTTTGACTTAATCAGCTCTCTCTCTAAAAGGTATTATTATTTGTCCACCAAAATTTGGAAATGTTATAGTATCATGAGAAAGCACAAGATGCCTGAAAGAAGGACAAGAAAAAGTGGACCCTGCAAGTGAGAACTGAGTTTCATATTGGTTCATACTAGATCCCTGAATTTAGATATTATTGCCACGGCTACCCTTTTGCCCTGTATAAAGCCTTGAAACTCTCCTGGAAAGAATCACGTATATTATTTGTAGCAAGAATCAACCTACTTGGAATCTTGTTCTTAAGATGGAATAGCGAACCATGTTGTTTCTTTCCATCTTAAATTTGTAATGCAAGAAGAAATAGAGAAGGAAAATATTATTTGATTGCTTCAACCTTTAAACAAATTTAATCTAGATTTTTACAAAGAAAAACTTTGATCATATCCAATGATTTGGTTTTCTAATTTACTGTACTATCACTTATGTCTTTCCAAATAAACCTGTAGCAGGTACTTTTGAAAGAGCAACATAAGTAACATGTTCATTCCTTCATATGGTTGCTTCTGAAAAATCTGATTAAAAGTGAAGAATTTCTTATGAAAATCATAAAAGATAGACATAATTTTGCAGGGCAAATCTCATGAAACCTATCTTAACTAATTCATTTAATTAGTACAGCTCATAAATATTTGAAAATATCTCTTATGTTGTGTTGGCAATAACAAGGGGTGGGAGTAAATGATTTTTTTTTCTTAACATGTTTTCAGAATAATACTAGAAAAATTGAAATCATACTTCTTTATCCAACTTGGGACATTAACAGAAGACCTGAATACAAAAGTTCCAAGTATTCCCAAGAAATCCTGTCTTTCAGGGTTGAAAAGAATCTTCAAGGTAATAACAATCCATTTTTTTTCTGATTTATTAATTCCCTTTGCACATCCTAAATTAAGTGCATGTCTATTCTCTGCCTTAAAAAATTTCAGCAACAGGAAAGCAACACTACTTCTTGAAGTCTGCCCTCATGTTGAGCTGAAATTTCCTATAAATCTCCTATAGATCTTTATTCTGCCTGAAGCTTCCTCAGATTATAATTCTAAGACTTAAATTTTTTAAATCCAAAATTTAAATTGTAGTTAGAATACAAACAGGACAGAGAATTTTTAAAAAAGTTATACTGCCCGTAATGATCTTCTTGACTTGGTGACTATCTCTGTTACGTTCATCTTTTTCACAATTAGGAATTCATTCATTGTTCTGGAGCACTAACCATCGAAGGAGTAGTAGTTGGAAAGAGAAGTTAATGAACTTGCAGAACAACCAAATGTGTATATATGAATGATCTAGTATTTCTGATAAAATGTGATCCACTGGAATGAGAGCTATTAAGGTTATGTCATATATATTAATTATATAGATTCATATACAAAATATTGTTTTATTAATTTTGATCAACTCATTAATTATAGAATGTCCACAGGTTAGCAAACATACTCTCAATTATTTTTAAGTATGTTAGTTATGTTTTCAAATATGCTCAATGAGCATCCATGGGAAGTATCTCTAAATTTAAATCAATGGGTCCCACTGTTAATTTGAAAAAAGTACCATAAATACATTACAGTACATATATAGTTCCTCTATCCTACACATATAGATAAGACACAGGAAGAAGGTGAAAACATACGCTTTTAAAAAAATTAGTATATTTCTTATCATTTATATATCTCAAGAGACAATCAGCATTTTAAGCTTTAGCTTTTATTTTCTGTTTACCTGGCTTACTTTAGTAATTATGAACCATTTGAGCTACATGACATGTCATAAAATGTAAAATTGAGGGACGGAACTAATTCTAAGATCCCCTCAAGTCTTAATATTTAATATTCACTAACAGTTGTATTAATAACTGTTGAGTATAGAAATAATTTACTTTCCTTTACTAAGATTTATATATGTTATTTAATAAATTAAAAATATGCTTCAGTCTCCATAAATTTGAATGCCAAGCTTTTCATATAAAAATTCATAATTGTTAATCCCTACCAGAATTATCTCAAGAGTGATGTCAAAAAATCATAGAGAAGAAAGTTATTGAATGTAATGAAAGGATAAAAAGAGAAGAAAATGATTTTTACCTAAAGCTTAGTCAATTTATAAAAAATACTGTTTTAGATTTGTAAATTTCTCAAGGCAGAATGAATAGCTCTGAGTCTTCTTTCTACCAACATGCTACAGTTATTTTGACCATATTTCTCCTTCACTGTCTTATAGTTAAGGTAAAATCACATCAACATACAGCAGTGGTTCTTAAAGTGTGGTCCCCATTTTAGCAGCATCAGCTCACCTGGATATATGTCAGAAATGCATATTTTTGATCCTCTCCTCACCACCCCAGACCTATAGACCATAAACTCAGGAAGTGGGGCCAGCAATCTGTGTGTTAACAAACCCTCTGGGTCATTCTTAATCACACCAAAATTTGAAAACCACTGGCCTGGAGTCACGGAGAAAAATGTGTATCTGTAAATAGGGTAGTCATCTCAGTTTATTCTGCTGGGGATAAGGAAAAGAGGAGGAAACTTGGTAATGAAATATAAAAATAAGTGGCGTGATATAGGAAGAGTAAGATGGTAAAAAGAGTTGCAAGAAACAATAAACTTTTCACTAATATTGACAAGACTTATTTCCAAATCAATTCAACATGACCAGTTGATTTTGGTTCATGAAAATGAAATTGTAGATCCATGGTAAATAGTAATTTGTCTCCTCTCTGCCCTTAAGGGTTAAATTGGGATGACCCATATATTCTCATCATCTGATCTCTTTTCAAAATTACTGACATTTATTTAAAATAGCTGGTTGAGATGAGAGGTTCAATCTGTAGACTATACTAAAGATCAAATAAGTTGTATTTATTAGTGCTGAATTTCAACGAACTAGATGAACCCTTACATAAGGAGTGTCTTCTGGTGGCACCTGCCCCATATATAGGGATTAGTTTTGGATAAAATAATTCCTAGTAATCTGAGGCAGATTTACCAGTGGTGTTTGAAGGTAGACTGTGCTTTATTAGTCAGGGGGTTACATTTTGGGGTAAGTCTTGAAGATAGTTTGGCCTAATTGAATGAGTACAATCTTTGGCTTGGTGTCAATTTGGGTTCAAATATATTAGTTCTGAAATACTCAACCAGTTTCGGAAATCTCTGGAAAATCATATTAAAATGGGTCGGTAATAGGGTTGCTATAAGGATTAGAAGAGTTACAAGGGGTTCAGCAATGCCTAATATATGATAGATATTCAATAAGTAACAGCTGTTGGTACTAATAAATCTTGATCGACTCCTCCTTTGTTACCACCTTCTCTTTAAAAACGGTCATGGTGCAATTTTCCTAGAGGCTAAACTCATTTCTGAAATTACCTGTCAATTATGCTAGTCAAATTATTTCCTGAAGATCCATTGTGTACTGAAAAGTTGGATTAACTGAACTTTCAGCCCATATTTCCCAAGTGAAATGTTTCTATTCTACCACATTCCTAAATTGCTGTATAGAAGAAATGTGGTAGGAGTGTTGAGATTAATTGAGTGAAGTAGTAGCCCTTCTTTCTTGGACTATAGGTCTAGTTCATAGGGCGATTCCTTTAGCCTTTCTCTATTGTGTTTCAATTGTCACCTCAACAAATAAATAGGATGGAGTGGGGCCATGGGGGTAGTGGGAGAAATTAGTGTTCTTAGCCGCTTCCAACAGGGTACAGTGCATGAGAGGGGGAAAAAGAAGGGAAGAAAATTATGAGTGATGGAATTTTAGAACTCAATTTTTATATATGACTAAAGCATGGTTTACCCTTTCTGGAGAACAGCAAAAGATAAAATTCCATAATAAATTCAACTGAACTTTCAAACTATTTTATCCTATTGAGATTCTAGACTGTCAGTCATTGGTATAAGTCACATTGCTAGTCTGAAAAACCTAGAAATATAATACAGCAGCTTCTGAAGCAAATTAGCAAATGATAAGGATTTTTTTTTTTTTTGTATCTAGGTGTCTTGTACATATCCTTATCCTTACTTCTTTTTTTTTTTTTTAAAGATTTTATTTATTTGAGAGAGAGAATGAGATAGAGAGAGCATGAGAGGTGGGAGGGTCAGAGGGAGAAGCAGGCTCCCTGATGCGGGACTCGCCTGATGAGGGACTCGATCCCGGGACTCCAGGATCATGACCTGAGCCGAAGGCAGTCGCTTAACCAACTGAGCCACCCAGGCGCCCCCTTATCCTTACTTCTTATGGTTCTGCTATTTTATTTGCTGGATAGTTTTGGCACTTACGTGTTTTCTTTTGGTAAAGTTGCTGAGAATGTTTAAAATGGGAAGCTACAGACAATTTCCACAAAATGACAAGGGCAAGTAACTGCCCAACTAAACTATTCTCTCATATCCCACTTAGATTTCAAGCAACACTGAAGAAGAAACAACCAAGAACCTAAAATGTATCTGTTATTTCTAGAAGAGGGAGGAGAAAAACATTACAACAGCCAACTCACTCTATAGAATTTGTAGAGAAGTGACCAACCAGATTGCTATGGTGAACCACCACCAGGCTAAAAGCTGTTTTAGTATATGGAGTATGTCTGCAATGGAATTTTATGTGCACAGATATTTTTGGAATTAGTAAAATACACATGTGTAGACACACTTCAAAATACACTTTGGTTACTCTGAAGCACTTTCTTTGATAAACAAACGGGCACCAAAAAGAGAGGTCTAGGGGGAGAGGTCTCTCTTTTCCCTGTGCTCTATTGACAGTGGACGATTGGGGCACTTAAATAAATGCACCTGGGACAAAAATCCTTGTGTGTTCTTCTCTTCCCCTTCAATCATCAACCTTGGTAGTTTCTCAAGGCTAAAAACAAAACAAACAAACTCATGATAATGTTTTATCTTTGCACACCCTAGTAGTTACAGGTCCTCTAAAGTAGAACCCTACTGTTCACAGTTCAGTGCCCTTCCTGATTTCCTTTGTTAAACATCATTACTTGTAACATACTATGTTCAATAGACCAAGGAAATAGAGGTCAAGGGTAGTACTTCATTCTCAGGGGTCCCTGCAGTGATAGTAGCAGTGTATTATTTAGCAATGTAATTTAAGATTATTTCAGGTACAATGACATTTCAGGAAATGATGTTATTTTTAAAATTCTTTTGCCATGCACAACGTAAGAAGTGACCACAGAATGTGTAGAAACAAGTGATGCTTCCAAGGATAAGACCTCATATAGATAATAAAAATATTCCTATAAAATAATTAAAGCATAGGATAGTCACGTAGTTAGCATATAACAATTTGATCTTAAAAAGGACTAGGAACAAAATTTCATTTTGTGTGGTTCAAGAGATACATACATGTGATAAAAAACTGCCACTTCTGCATGTTCTTTGGGTATCATCACAGATTGCTGCATTATTACAGTTGTTTTTAATATAAAGAGAGACTGTCTTACACTTTCCAATTCTGGTATTCTCTGCTTTTCTTTCACATTCCATTGACACAGGAATTTTAGAAGTTTAGAGTGGGAGGGAACCTTAGCTTCTAGCATGATCTTGCTCATTTTTTTAAAGATTTTATTTATTTTATTTTTAGAGAGAGCGAGCGGGACTGGGGAGAGGGGTGGGCGGTAGGGCAGAGAGGGGAAGGGAGAGAATCTCAAGCAGACTCTGAGCTGAGTATGGAGCCCTACACAGGGCTCGATCTCACAACCCTAACATGATCTGAGCTGAAACCAAGCGTCGGATGCTTAACAGATTGAGCAACCTAGGAGCCCCTTGTTCATGTTTCATAAAAGGAAGTCATCCTACTGAAGTTAAATGGTTTGCTGAGAGGCCATCCACTGGCAGAATTAGGTCTTATTATTCTTTCTCAAATGATCTTTTAAAGGTTAAATAAGTAGGGACTTAGTTTTGAGAATGTCTTATTTCTCCCATTTCAGTTATACTGATTTCCTTTGTTATAGGCAAACAAAATAATAAGCCACTACTTTTCTCTTCTCTCTTACTTATACATTTGCTACCTCTAGGCAACAACCTCATCAAATCCACAAGAAATAAAATTCTGAAGAATATGTACTATACTACAGAACCATTTTCTCTAAGTAAGATACTAAATATTTCTGAATATAGGCATCTCAAAAGAAAGTCTGTCTTTAATCAGATCAAATAAAGCAAATGGATTTATACCATCATTTTGATAAAGACAAAAACCCACAAAAGGATTTTCCCCCCCAATCTTACACTTTGAGCAACTCTAACTTTTAACTACTATGAACATTTTTCTTAGGGATTACTTTCCCTTTTCTTTACCTCTATTATCTCCTGGGAACAATGAAAATTTTGAATAGAATAACATAGAAACTAAGTATACAAGGGGGAAAAATGAGAGGATAAGCAACTCCTATTCAGTCTTAGAAATAAGTCAACAACAGAAAAGAAGAAACTGTATATTCCATTTAAATGAGTATTTTCTTTATATTCACATCACAAACTAACTTCACTGTAGCAGCACTAATTTCATTATGAGTCAAGTTTTTATTCACTGGTAGATGTCACTGGCCTCAATAAGAATAAGCAATTTCTCACAAAGGATTTTTGAAAGAAGATAGCTTGGAAAACATAATTTACCAGAAAGTACTAACACGGGAAACTCCTTGATTAAGGATGGGAGATTCCTAATTTTTTTTCAGCCTAAATTTAAGCAAAACTCATTCCTGCAGGAGAATTTACCTTCGTTTTGACCCCTTTCTTTAAATAAGAAGCAAAACATATAAACCATTTTAAGCTTGAACAAATAAATACCTGGAGATTTTAACCAATGTTATAGATTCTGCAAAGGATGATGAGTTATTGATCATGAAAAGAAACAAACTCTTTTATGCTTTAAATATATATGTTTAAGAGGATTCTGTCTTCTAACAACTCTCTCATTTTACAAACAGAAAATCATGCCACCAATTATGGAGATAATATTCTGAAGTTTAAACCAATGCTTGAATTTTTCAAACCTTTTAACATTTTCATAAAATTTACAGATACAAATCCATTAAAAAAAATTCCCCCCAATTCTCATATATTTTAAGGTATTTCTAACAGTACTGGATCTTTTACTCTGGTTGATTTGATTTATAACTAGACAGTATCCTTCAGGGTTCCAATACGGAACTTTCAATTTGTCAGATAATTTTTTCTTGGTGGTTATTAGAAAGGTGACTTTAAAATACATGCTTGATGTGAATGAAAAGAGAATAATGATTTTTTTGGACAGGGGAGGTTTTGAAAAACTATTAAAGCATTGTCTACGGCCATACCACCCTGAACGCGCCCGATCTCGTCTGAAAAACTATTAAAGCATTATGCTCACTTCATTTTAAAAAACAATTTACTGTTTTATACTCTTCTAGCAGAGAATGGAGATGGTTTAGTTGTATTTGAAACCTCATAGCCCCAAAGTTTTCATCTCTCTCCAAATCACTGTAGTACCCCTTCTGGTCCCAAGGACATCTGACAGACTCTGAGTCCTTCTGTGGGGGAATATATGCTTTAAACAATCAGGACTAGTGTTACCCCTTTGTGTAGTGATGGATTTGACTATAAGTTGCTAAAGGCATTATTCATTAATAACCTTATCATCATAAAGATAAAGCTCATGTTAACAAATCAAAAGATTTCAACAGTCATAGCATAACCTTTCACTATAGTTCTAGCACTCATTTGCTCTCATAATGGCAAAGTCTTTGGATAAAAATAAGATAATAGCAGAATTAGTAAAAACTTGACTGAAAGTGATAATTTGTTAAAGCTTTTAAATACAGGTGTTTTTCATTGGAGAACATAGTTAAGCTAAAATAATACTTGGTAAAATAGCTTAATATCTTGCCAGTCCTGAACCATATTACTTCAGGAAAAAGACCAATATTCTTTTGCGGGAAGGAAGATGGGAAGACAGGAAGGGCAAGGTGGTTAGGTTAGGAAGGGAAATTAAACATTTATACATTTTAAATTAATATATACATATATTTGCATTTTAAGTAAATATCAATGGGATTCATTTAAAATTTCCTTGAGGTTCCCTTGGTGTAATAATATAGTTCAAATTAAGTGCTATGTTAACTAGATCAAGTATAGTATCTGAATAAAAGGGAAAAAATTCATTTAAAATGACATCCAAAATTGATACTACTAGGTACAAGACAGTGTATATATTTTCATTTGTATGTGCAAAAAGAATATATTTATATACACATATGCTTGCATATTCAGAGTAATTCTAGAAGGATACACAAGAAATTGGTAACACTGGTTGTTACTTTTCACTAACTGTAGCATTTAAATTTTGTACCATATATATGTTTTCCCTATTCAAAAATATTGATTAAAAACCCACTACTAAAATAAATTTAATTTTAACAATCACGTCAAATTAAGAAAAAAAGACTAATTTTTTTACATTATACAAGAAAATATACTAACGCATATATTGTTTTTCCGAGATCCACCTACATAAATTTTGTTATATTTACTTTCTGACAGTAACTGTGATCTAAAAACTCAAATTTCACATGACCTTAACTTGGGAAAAACACATTTTCCCTGTACCTCATTGCTACAGTACTGTGGACTATGGGTTGTCTCACCAGCATGCTGACATCTTTACTCTCTTCCTCCGATGGGTTAGCCATTAGCCACCGTTTGTCTATGAAATTCAAGAAATCTTTAAGGAAACTTCAGAAGGACTTTAAGAATCTTATTTGGCAGTGATAAATATTATACCTGTATTATTCTTTTGGCACAGAATCAATTTTAACTTCTCTCTGTGGTTTACTTTAGATTTTATCCTGCCAAAGATGTTTGGTGTTTTGGTAAAGACAGACTTCAAACTATGTGGTGACTAAGCCAAGCCCTTACATAAAGCTTGGAATAGGATTTTATAAATAGTTCCAATGAAAGACATTTTGAAATAAGCAGGGGAAAAAAACTCACACTTATAAAAATTATTTTCAGAACACCACTTAAAAGTTCAAATTGAGTCCTAATCACTTAAATATTAAAATAAACCATAAAACAAAATCTAAAGGAGTGATAGTACATACATCAACTTTCAATGGTAGCTGCTTATTAAAAATGAGTGTCTGAGGGTGTATTCCAATTTCATCCTCTTCAAATTGTGCAGCTCAGATAAATGTTTATTTTACTGAAAATATTTGCAAAATTACAATATAAATACATGAATATATTAAGATAGAATGACTATATATAATGTATTCTTATCCATATATATAAAATGAATGCAGTAAATATAGCATATTCTCAATGAATTATTAGTACACAGTGTTTCTTAGTAAAGTACATACAACCTATTATTAAGCAACAGTTATCTAGTTTTCAAATGTACATCTCAGGAAGTTTTTAGGATGAAAGGATACACTAAATCTCCCAATACCCTTTTTGGTCGGTGAAAGTTAGTTCTGCAAATTTTGAAATAATACTATGTTTATTTTAGCAATGGTTCTTTGGCTCTTTGCATTTTCTTAATTTGAAACTTTATTTCTTTAGTCTGGGTGTTTTCTTAATGAGGCCATATCAGCCAACCATACTTTGAATTCTAATACAGTATCATGTACTGTCTTTTCATTAGTCATTTTAACACACATCGACAATGAAACAGAATTATTAAAATTTTTTTTATCTGCACAAATTCCCAAAATTAACTTTCAGGGTATTATGGGTATCACAGGGAGTCTCAACTAGATAGAGTCTCAACTCTAATACTAATCTGGGCTAGAAATAGGTTTTTTTTTTAATTGATTTTAGGTCTTAAGAATACAAATATGAACTCTACTTGAAAAGTGTTTGTTAAATGTATTGGGATTTGTTTCAAAAGCATCTTCTACCCTCCTCCATTACACCGATTTAATGGAAACTTGTTATTATAGCAGTTCCAACACAAACATCTGCATGCAAGAGATCACCCTACAGATTCTAACTACATAGTTATTGAAACACATCCCACCTGTCCAGTGGCATAAATGTACATCCTCTATATACAAAAGGTAAAGTGCATTATTAAATTAGTGAACTGACAGATTGTCTGCCTGGACCATATAGCTTTCTAATAGACAAATGTGAAATTCTCCCATTAGAACCAATTATTTCAAGAGGTTCCAACTAGCTTTTCCACCCTGTCATTTATTTTTTGGCCATGCTCTTTAGTGCAAATAAGCTTGTGTTTGACTCAAGTTTAAGGGACATGGCAGTTGGGGCTTTAACAAGGAAAATTATAAAATGTGGCAGAACTTTTAATACTTTTATAATACATTGCATCTTTTGCATATAAGCAACAGATTAGTGCTGCTTTCGATTGCTTAGGAGCACACTGCCAACTATTAGGAGGAACCCGTTTCCAAATTTCATACTATTAGCTTATATTATGACAGTTTTGAGTCTTTACCACATTATACTTGGGTTATTATGTGCAAACATCATCAGTGTTTTAGAATTATACAGTGAACTAGTAATTTTGGTTACTAACTTGGAATGCTCATTTTTTGACTTCTAACATCCAGTTGCCTTGAGAGTTTTAATGTCTTCAAGGCTGGGATCCTATTATTTTGAAGAATACCATGTACACTTGCAGCTTCACTTATGTTACAAATGACAATAAATAAAATGTATATTGCACAGATAAAAATAGTAGCTTATTTTATAAGATACATGGCAATACATGTCCTAATACCAGAGTTTTGAACTGGATCTTATTTGATTATGGCTAATGAATAATTGGGAATTTTAAGTATCAAAAAATCATAACATCATTTCATTTTTCAATGAATACATATAAAAAAGTGAAACAAAAGGACTGGCAGAAGGTTTAGTGATTCTAATGTATATTCAATTGCCGGTATATATGCATCTACCAATCTATAGCTTTGAGATGGTAATAACTTTGAAGTATACATACAATGTAGAAGATTTGGCTACTAACTAATTCTTGACTTAAATAATTAATGCAAAATTAATATTTATATACAATGAATTAAAGGTATTTCTCTTTAAGTCTGACATAGTATTGTGTATATGTATATATACACACATGTATGTATATATATAGACATAAACACTCAAATCTTATCAGACTAAAAACCAAAAAAGAAATCATTTAGATTTAATGGATATAAATATTTTAGGAGGGAAGGTTTTAAGAGAGAGTATATAGTCATAGCAATAGTGATAGGAACACTCGAATACTGGAGCATTCATCGCTCCCGTTTGCCAACATCTGACAGGTTGATAATTATTAATAGGCACTATGATGGGCAGCAATAACAATCAGTAGTACAGTAATTCAAGTGCACATCACTCCTTCATATACCAAAAACTACTTTTTATCAAGTCTACAATAGTTATTTTACAGTTAGGACTGTTTAAAGATCCTTGCTACTTTTAGAGTCTCAACACCCACCATGTGCTATTAACTCTAGTACTAACATTATCTTCTAACCTTCAGTTGTTCCATAGTAATCCAGATGGTCCACAATTATAATGAACTAATGAGATTCCTTCATACTACTTGAGGAAACATGAAATACAATCTGAAAACCAATACCAGCATGTATGTCTGGGTTACTGATTGCTTGTTTTTAAATAAGATAAGCCAGTAATACTCTTTCCTTGACTCACAAAGTTCTCTTAGTGACCTTACTTAAATGGATTCAGGGACAAACTGCTGAAGGAAAAAATTATTAAAATAATTTTAAACTACTTATAACATATAAAAGGAGAGCTACATTCTGATCTCAATCCATGCAGCCAGCTCTCATCAATGAGAGCTATATTTGGGGGTTGAAATCAGTGTCTGGCTCTTAAACATGATTATATGGACTTATTGTGTGGGAGGTGAATAAAGCCAAGATAAAAGACAGTAATTTCAATCAGAATAAAATGCAGCTCAACAGATAAAATTCCAGTCAGTTAATACAGGGTGGGTTGGTACACATACACACTTTATCCACTTGTTTAAAAATTGCTTAGGTGTTGAAAAATTGCTGTGGCACTTCCTGGAAAGTAATTTTTAATACAGGTAAATGGGTGAGTCTTGCGTAAAGTAAGCCTTTTTAAGTATCATAAAGAGCACCTTGGAAAATGCCTGAATTTTCCTTTCAAATATGTTTATAACCAATCCTTAAATAATTTTCCCAGGCTGAAAATTTATATTCTAAGTGCTTTTTAGAAAAAGAGTTGTTGTTTTTTTTTTTCCCCTGGAATTAAAATACCTGTAAAAGCCAGGTTTCTATTGGAAGTGTTGACACTGTTTTAAGGGTAGCAAAAGTGCTACTAAAATGTATTATTACAGATGTATTTTTGTATCAGTTAACTGGTGCACCAACCCCTCTGAAATAGTGCTAAAGAAGAAGCATAAAATATAACACCTTGAGTCCATGATATATTTTGGGAAAAAAACTCTCACAACCTTCAAATTAGCATGAAAGGCTAAAACACCAAGATTTCCAGAGCAAAGCCATAGGATGAAGCCTCCCACTCAACAGCGACATAAAAGTAATTCCTCAAACTTTGGAACGTCAATAAAAATATAGGGTATAGTGAAGAGAGGTAAAGATGGGATTAGAATAACCAATTAAAACTCTCCCACGGCTTTGATATGGCAACTATAAACTGCAGGGTTACCACAAAATTTGAAATTATGAATACTATCGTAACTGTAAGATTTGATTTTTTCATGGTACTTTTTGGTATTCAGTTATCCAATGAACTAATATATTTCTACATGTTCTTTTATAAAGAAATATATTAATACCATACTTGAGGTCAATTTCTGTTTCTGTGGTAACTGCGCTACAGGTAAGCTTAGCAGCTTTTAATGAAGTAGGGATGGAATACTTTCTCGGGGAACTGGTTAAATAGAAGTTCACACTTCCATATTAAGTATATGTATATGTTCTCAGGATCATGTTATAGTGCAATGTAAATCTTAGTTATGGTATTTAGAAGGTCAGAATGTCATACTTTGTGCTGATTTGCATACTTCAATAGTCTGGAGCAGTTGAAGAGCTACACTATTTAGCTCTGGGAAGGCTGGAATTCCCATAAGAATTATAATGTTCTATGTATAACATGAGAATCAGACTCCTTGAAGTATAAACTATTGGAGGTATTACTAATAACAAAGGGCCAAAAAAAGAGAAAAACTTCTTCAAGTGATTATGGATCAGTACTTTTAGCCAATTTATGATTTTAAATTTTGCCTGATGGAGTTCAATTTCACTCTAGTCGAGGCATTCTTGTTCTTCACCACTGGCCCTTCTGCCATCCATTCTCTTTTCTTTATGGCTGTTGCAAATTTTCCTCATCTCTTCTTCATACTTGATAAAATTCTCCCCAAACCTTGTCCAAGCTTTGAATGGAACAGTAATAGTATTACGGTAAGGTGGCCTCACCTCACTTACCTTCAGGAAAATTCCATATTTATTAGAGCCCACATCAAAGTAGAACCTTTTATTGTCCACTCTGAAAGAAGTCCCCTCTGGGAGTTCAAGTGGGTCATCATCTTCACCTCTTCGTTCTTCTATGTCCCCTTCGCCATAGTCTTCAATGAGCTGAACCAAGGCATCACGAAACTCAATCATTCCTTGTGCGGGGAGCACAATAGTCTGTTCTTGGCCCAAACTGTGACCAAAATAACCTATCATGCCAGTCCCTCGCATCATGGTTTGTCTAATTCTTAGGAAGCGACCCCGCTGATTTTCCTTTAGGTCTAGATAATATTTCCTATTGTCCCTCTCTATGTAGTCTGTTTTGAGGACACTATGAGGGTGCTCTTCGGACCCTACAGAGACAGGTGGGGAGGGTGCCGAGTGCTTCTGTCTCCTCCTGGAGGCTTGATCTTTGCCGTGGCCATGCTCTTGCCGGTGGCCTTTCAGGCCCAGGTGGGCGTAATGCTCGATGAAGTCCCCTAGACAGTCCTTCAGCTCCGCTGCCACAGACAGGGACAGAGTCAGTTTACTCTTTCTGATATTGTCCTGCCGGCCTCTCCCTATCCAGACTTCGGCTATCTTTAGGAACCGGCCCCGGGAGCTTTGCTTTACGTCTAGGTAAAACCTCTTTTTCTGGATGTCCACTCGTTTGGAGGCCAGCTCCTGGATTTCGGCTGCGCCCCCAGCCTGATTAGGGGTGGCTGAAGCCGCGTAGTGGGGGTAGTGGGAGTGCTGGGCCTGGGGATAGAGTCTACTCTTGCTTAGGCCAGAGCCCCCTACATTCTTGCCGCCGCGGCCGCGGCCACCGCCGCCTCCCCTCCGCCTGGCTCTTTCCATCTTCAGCTGCAAGTGACAAACAGACACACGGGGTGGGGTGGGGGAGGGGTGTTGAGAACAATCGCAGACGCCCCTCGGCCTGCGCTGCCCCCGCCTCCGCCCGGGACCCCCACTCCGGGCCGCGGTGCACGGAGCCCTCCGCCGCAGAGCCCGGCGCCCGCGTCTGCCCAACCGTCGGCGGCGACAGGCGGCGTCTCCCGGCTCTGCACCGCGCACAGAGCATCCCTCCGCCGCCCGGGCCTCCCGCTCGCCGCCGGGCCGCCAGCCTCGGGCTCCGCAGCCCCGGGGTCCCCAGCCAGCAAACACTCACATCGACACTGCCATCACCGCCGCTACCGATGCCCTTCACGACCGCCGCCGCCGCCAGCTCTCGGCCCCTCTGCTGCAGCCGCCGCAGCCGCTGCCCCCCGCCAGCTCCGCCGCGGCCGCTCGCACCGTCCCCCGCCGGAGCAGCCGGGCAGGGGCATCGCCTGCGGCGCCCGCCGCCGCCGCCCCTCCTGCGGCCGCTGCGGGGGCCGCCGCCTCTCTTCGGGCACCGGCCCGAGACCCGCCGGGAGGGGAGAGGGGGGTGGCGGCAGGGGGCGGGCCGTGGACCCCGCCTCCTCCAGCACAGCCCGCTGAAGGGAAGAGAAGGTCTCGCGCTCTTCCTGGGGGCGCGCCGAGACCGAAGCCCAGAGCGCGGGGACGGAGCGTGAGTGCGAGGTGACTGGACAGGTGTGAAGACGGGAATGAGGACGGGGGTAGCGAGAGTGTTCAGACTTCTTCAGGTTCCGCCGGGATGCAGGACTCTGGCGGCCCACTGGCGCGGGCACAGAGACTACACCTCCCGGAGTACTCAGCGGCAGCGAGAGTCTTTGCGCATGCGCGCCGCGTAGCCAGCTGGGCTTGGTGGCCGGGCTGCATCGCAACTCGAGCGGAGGACGGGGACGGGGGCGGGGCGCCCGCCTTCCGCAGCTGATGGGTCCTGGGGACGCCGTGACGTTGCGGCGTGCGCTCCGCAGCGCGGGAGTGAAGTCTGTCGAATTGCTTTCTAGCCTGGATACCTGGGTTCCAGGCCCTGCTGTCGTGGCGCTTCTCGAGTCATCCGGCTGAAGGAGGAGGCCGGTTGAACTGACTCTTCTCAGGGTAACGTGTCCACTCCACCCCTGTTTTAGCTAGCTCCAGACCCTGGGGTATCATTCGAGCCTTCTCCGACATTGGAGGTGCTCAGTCCGGCGAAACAGGCCTCTGGGCAGTGTGTGGGAGGTGCGTTAGAAACGGGTGTCCTCTGCCCCTTTCCGCCTCCCGAGCATACAGGAAAGGGACCTGCCGCTGGCCTGCCCAGAGCTTCCCTCCCTCAGCTTGTGCCACCGGTTGCCTGTCGTGGGTCCTTAGGACTGGGCCCTTCGGGTCCAGCCTTTACTGCTGCAGAACGCGAGCCACTCCGTATTTACACAACAAAGTCCGGGGAAATAACCTGTTATGTGTAATTTAGCAGATTAAGTTGGATTTCTTGAATTTATTTTATTTATTTTTATTTCTTGAGTTTACATCCTTTAAATCCATAATTTTCTTTTTTCATGGCTGAATCTGAGTTGTTTTCTGGATAGATTTGAGTATGGGAAAATACCAGTCCCTATGGTATGAAATCCTTAGGATGCTTATTTAGCAGTCTTTAAGTCATGGTACTTAAGGTTTTGTATAATTTGGTATGTTAATTTTAGGGATATTGGGATGGATAGGGCAGTTTAGGTTTTGATGTCATTGAATAGTGGTCTCCTTTTATTAATTCAACAAATATTTATTGAGCACTCCCCTAGGCTCTGGGGATACCAACAATGAACAAAACGGGCACAAGTCTTTCTGCTTTTGGACCTTTCATTTTGGAGAGAGATAGACAGTAAGTCAAATGCCCAGTATGTCAGAAGGTGACAATCCTTTGGAGAATAATAAAGAGAGATGATGACTGTGGGTGGGAGTAGGCAGCTGCAGTTTTACAATAGCTTGTCAGGGAAGGCCTCACTGAAAAGGTAATTTTTGAGTAAAGAGTTGAAGGAAATGGGAGAGCTAGTTCTGTGGCCATCTGGGGGAAAGAAAGTGCAAAGGCCCTGCGGAAGCCTGTTGGTGTGTTCAAAGAACCGCTGAGGAGGCCAGTAAGTTAGAGCAGAATGAAATAGTAATGGAAGAATTGTAGGAGATAAAATCGGACAGGAAAGAGCAGGGGGCAGATACTGTAGAACCTGGTAGGTTATTTTGAAAATTTGGGTTTTCATTGAGGGAGATGGGAAGCTATTGGAGAGTTTTGTCAGGGAAACACCATCATCTGAATGATCTTTTTAAACAAAATAGTGGTAAAATATATATAACAAAATGTGCCAATGTAACAATTTTTAAGTATACAGTTCAGTAACATTAATTACACTCCCTATGTTGCACAGCCATCACCACTATTTTTTTTTTTTTTTAAAGATTTTATTTATTTATTTGACAGAGAGAGCAAGAGAGCACAGGCAGGGGTAGGGGCAGAGGGAGAGGGAGAAGCAGGCTCCCCGCTGAGCAGGGAACCCAATTTGGGTTGATCCCAGTTGGTATCATGACCTGAGCCAAAGGCAGATGCTTAACCTACTGAGCCACCCGGGTAGGTGCCCCCATCACCACTATTTTAAAAATTTTTTCACCCCAAACAAATTCTAACTAACTGGTTAATTAAGCAGTAATTCCTTATTGCCCCCTCTGCCTAGCTCCTGGTAACCTCTAATATAATCTCTCTTTATGAATTTGCTCATTCTGGAATCACAATATTTGGGCTCTTAAAGTTTTTTTATTTTTATCTTTATTTTTTAAATATTTGTGCTTTTTTTTTTTTTTTAAAGATTTTATTTATTTGAGAGAGAGAGAGTGAGACAGAGCATGAGAAGGGGGAGGGTCGGAAGGAGAAGCAGACTCCCCTCTGAGCACCGAGCTCCGATGCAGGACTTGATCCCCGGACTCCGTGATCATGACCTGGGCTGAAGGCAGATGCTTAACTGACTGAGCCACCCAGGCACCCCTCCATTAATTGGTATCTTAAAAATTTTTTTTCAGCAATTTTTTGGCAGTGTGTAAGTTTTTCACCTCTTTGGATAAGTTTACTCTTCGGTATTTTATTCTTTTAGATGCTATTATAAATGAAATTACTTTCATAATTTCCTTTCAGATTGTTCATTGCTGGTGTATAAAACACAGCTGACTTTTTGTGTGTTGGTCTTGTACCCTGCAACTTTGCTAAATTTTCTTATTAGATCTAGTAAGTTTCTTGTGGATTCTTTGGGATTTTTATATGTAGGATCATGTCATCTGTGAATAGAGAGAGTTTTACTTGTTCATTTCCAATTTGAATGCTTTTTATTTATTTATTTTTCATGTCTAATTTTTCTGGCCAGAATTTCCAATACAGTGTTGAATAGCAGTGGTAAGTGAGTATCCCTGTCTTGCTTTTTAAAAATAATTTTTATTTTTAAAAATATTTATTTATTTGAGAGAGAGAGAAAGAGAGAGCACACAGAGGGAGAAGGAGAAGCAGACTCCCCGCTGAGCAGGGAGCCCAATGCAGGGCTTGATCCCAGGACTCTGGGATCATGACCTGAGCTGAAGGCAGATGCTTAACCGACTGAGCCACCCAGGCTCCCCCCAAATAATTCTTTTTTTAAATCGAAGGATAGTTGATATATAATATTAAAGTAGTTTCAGTCGTATAGTATAGTGATTCAACAATCATATGCATTATGATATGCTCACTATTCTTGTCTTGCTCTTGATCTTAGGGTGAAAACTTCAGTCTTTCACCAATGAATGTATTAGCTGTGGAGTTTTTTATAAATGCCCTTATCAGTTTGAGGAAGTTCCTTCCACTCTAGTTTTCTAAGTCTTTTTTATCATGAAAGATTGTTGGATTTTTCAGATGCCTTTTTTGTTCAATTGAGATGATTATGTGGTATTTTTCTTTCATTCTATTAAAGTGATACATTACATTGATTGATTTTCTTATTTTGGACCACTCTTGCGTTCCTGGGATAAATCTCACTTGGTTATGGTATATAATCCTTTAAATTGAATTATCTTTTAACAATCATTTTGGCTACTATTTTGGGAATAGACTGTAGAGGCAAGGAGATAAGAAGTAATGTGGCTTGAACCAAGATTTTAGCTGCAAAGGTGGTGATAAAAGGTAGGATTTCAGCTTTATTTTGAAGGTAAAATTTTTGCTGATAGATTGGATGTAAAGTGTGAATGAAAGAGAAGAGTCAAGGATGACAAAGGTTTTTGGCCTGAGTAATCAGAATGAAGGTGCACTTACTGAGAACTCTAATTTATAGAAGGAGCAGTTTGGGGAAATTTTTGTACATATTGACTATGATATGCCCATTAGAAATCAAATATGTACTAAGTAATTGGATATTCAAGTTTGAAGTTCAGTGGAGTGGTCATAAGTTTGGAAGTCATCAGTGTGCTATAGATTATTTTAAAGCCATCAGGCTGTGATTTTCATGGAAGTGAATATAAAGAGAAGAGAATGAAACTGTCTGTGACCTGAATCTAGAATGCTGTGATATTTAGAGATTGGGGAAGTAAGGAGGTACCAGCAAAAGGTACTGAGAAGGGGGGCACCTGGGTGGCTCAGTTGGTTGGGCGTCTGCCTTCGGCTCGGGTCACGATCCCTGGGTCCTGGGATCAAGCCCTGCCTTGGGCTCCCTGCTTGGCGGGGAGACTGTTTCTCCCTCTCCCTCTGCCTGTCGTTCCCCCTGCTTGTGCTTTGTCTCTGTCAAGTAAATGGATAGAATCTTTAAAAAAAAAAAAGGTACTGAGAAGGAATTCTTACTGATGTAGGTGGAGAATCAAGAATTGTCACAGAAGCTTGATAAAGTGTTTCACGAAGGTGGGTGTGACTAATTGTGTCCTATGTTGCTGGTGTATTGAGCCAGATGAGGACTGAGAATTGACTGTAGGATTTGGCGACGTGAAAGTCATTGGTACCTTGGTATGAGCCCTTTTGGTGGGGTGGAGTGGTTACAGTGAGTTTAAGAGACAATGGAAGGAATGGAAATGGAGATGCTAGTATAGATGACTCTTTTGAGTAGTTTTTCTATAAAGAGGGAAAAAAAAAGAATGGAGTAGTTAGCCAAGAGTGTGTTTTTAAAATGGAAGAAATTGCAGTATGTGTATATACTGATGGGACTTTGGGACTTTCCTGGGAAACTAGTAGAGAGGGAAAAATTGGTGATGCAGGAGAGAGGTGAAAAATGCCCTTGAGTGTGGAATCTAGTGCACACATGGAGGGGCTGGATTTAGGAGCACAGATAGCACATGGGATGTGTGTGTGTGTGTATATGTGTGTATATATATATGCTTGTGTATGTGTATGTATATGTGTACTATACTAATAGCTATATTGATATTGATATCAATGTGTATATATATTTCTCAGCCTCCTTAGTAGCATGGGCCAGTTCCCAATTCCTTATTGTGAGAGATATATATTATGTATATGATTATATATATTGTATATTATATACATGATATATTATGTATATGATTATATATATTGTATATTATATACATGATATATTATTATATATATTATCCGTATGACACACACACGTATATGTAATCTGCAGTCGACAAACTGAAGACATAGGAGAGATGAGGGCCTAGTTCCAGTCCAAGTCTGAAGGCCTGAGAACCAGGAGAGTTAATGGTATATGTTTCATTCCAAGTCTGAGTCTGAAGACAGGAGAAGACTAATGATCTAGATTGAATACAGTCAAGCAGAGAGTGAATTTTTTCTTAC